ATGAAATTTATTAGTTTCAAATTGTTATTGCTTTCTAATTATAACTTATTAAACTTGAATATTACATCGTTTATGAGCTGCTTTTGTCCGGTTTTGAAAAGGTCCTACCAAACCATTATTGATTTTTTTAAACTGTCCTATATCAAAAACAAATTGTGGTTTTTTAAATGAGTTTTTTTTATATATTCAGTATTATCTTCAATATTTACTATTGTCTCATTTATAACTATTATATATTTTGTAACAGTTATAAATACAAGAAAATTTTATTAATGCTAGTAATTTCCATATGGCCAAGTGCCAATTTGGATTTGATGTAATATACTATAATTATATACAAAATTTGGCATCATTTTTGCTATCGACTTTCATTCAATGTTAATTAATTTATTCATTAATGATAATACTTGTAACTGATTGATTATAATAAATAATTAGTAATTGACGGGTGATATTCAATGCTGCAGTATAATTAATGAGGCTATTTTGACCTCAAATGGCTATAAGAAAGAAACTTTTTTTTCAATTAAATACAAAATTCAAATTGCTAAAATTTTAATATTTTTTTTCTTATTTCAACAATAACAATATACTTATAGATTATACATCATAATCTATAAGTTAAAACTTTTTCTTAGCTAAACAAAACAATATTAAACTAAATAATTAAAAATAAGTATTTATTTAATATTTATGTATGAATTTATTCTTATTTTTCTATTTCTTTATACTAGGTTGATAGAATACCACAATGACTATGGCTACGAAACTAATGACAAATTTGCAAAGCTCTTTACACACTTGGAGAATACAAAAATTAAAACATGTCACTTTAAGAAATTCTATGATGACTGATTCCGGCCTCCAGTATATTCTAAATCATGATCTGGTCTCTTTACAATTATCGAACTGTACTAAATTAACATCTCAAACTTTAAGTAATATAAATTTGCATTCAAAGATCTGACTTGTCTGAGTTTTGGAAATGATACATCGATTATACCAACTTGTACAGCTGAATCGAATTGGCTCATATTCAGAACTACAGGTAATAGATAACATACTTTTTTTTAAAAAAAATTATATTGCAGTTATGAAGTGAAGCTCTGAAATGTTGTAAATGTCTGAAAATGTATAAATTGTGTGAAATGTTGTAAGTTGTCTGAAAGTTTTGCCAATTTGTTGATTGCTACAGGTAATGTAAACATACTTTTTTTTTTTTATATATATGCAGTTTATGAAGTGAAGTTCTGAAATGTTGTAAATTGTCTGAAAATGTATAAATGTCTTGAAAATGTTGTAAGTTGTCTGAAAGGTTTTGCAATTTGTTGATTGTACAGTAATAGATAACATACATTTTTTTTTTAAATGATATATGCAGTTTATGAGTGAGCTTGAATGAAATATTGTAAATTGTCTGAAAATGTTAAAATTGTCTGAAAATGTGTAAGTTGTTGAAAGTTTGCAATTTGTTGATTGCTTAAAATATAGTAAATTGTCTGAAGATGTTGTAGTTCACTAAAAATGGTGAAAGTTATCTGAAAATATAATAAAATTCTGAAATTTACATAAAATCTGAAAATGTTATCTCTATTTTCTTTTTTCATTTCTAAGTTTCACTTCTTCTCCTTTGATAAACTCTAGTTTAATTTATTTATGTGATTTAAATGTGAATTTATAATATTCTTTTAGGATATGTTATACAAGCTCCTGTTCTTAAAAAACTGACAATTCGAGATATAAATTTGAAGTTATCAGTGTTGTTGTCAAATTTAAAGAATTTAACGTACTTAGATCTATCACAATGTCATATCAGAGGCGAGTTTACACATTTAGAAAAATTAAAGTCTTTGAATTGTCTAATTTTGTATAATGTGGACCATTTGGATGAAGCTATAGATACACTTTGTCGATTAACATCTTTGCAATGTCTTGATTTATCACAGTCCAGTGAGAGAGCCAATCTTTATGAGGATGAAAACCAAGTGAGAAAATTATATTTAACAATTATTGACCTTGTTCATAAATATTAATATTTTTTACAATAGGTTTTAGCCAAGTTGATTGATTGCTTACCTCGATTAACCCATCTGGACATATCTGGTACGAATCTAGCAGGTACAGGCGTAGCCATGTCTTCTTCCAACATAAATAACAACCAGTCAAATCAGAATAGTGCAAACAATCCATCCTTAAACAAGAAACTTAACGATATAGTCAGTGATGAAGAGGATGAGAATTTTCTATGATGCTGATTATTTTGATTGCGTCTCTGATATTCCTGGATTAAGTAAACGGATGAGAAATCCTTTGGAATTCTTAGGATTGTATGGTACACTGCACTCAGCTTGCCAAAGGCATGATATTCCTGCCAAAGTTGTAAGTAGAAATAAATAAATTTATTTGTTTATTTATACCTATTCATATTTCATCAATTTCTTCTCAGATATCAGGAGATCACAATGAGAGACAAATTTTAGTAGCAGCTCAAGCGTATCAGGAGAGACCTGATATTTTAACAAAGGTTTTGAATGATTTGTATCATTTATTACGATTTGAAAATTGTTCTGAAGTTTTGAGAGCTTTAACGGCAGTTTTAACAGCAATGGATCGACATGTTTCTTGCAAACATATACAGATTTCTGGCAGGTATAATAATAATAATAATATTAATAATTTATATATATATACTAGCTGACCCGGCAAACGTTGTTTTACTAAATAAGGTATATTTCTAAACCATTTCTAGAGAATCAAAAATATTAATGCTTTAAGTGCATAAGGATGTGTTGTTTGAATGCTGTATACAATTAGGTATTATAAAAACAATAAACCCCATTAGTTTGTCTATATTTTGTCAATACAATCCAACTGCAAGTTTTATACACTTTCTATAGAAAACATCATATAATCCAATCTAAGTCTTTTTTGATCTTTCGACATATTGATTACGTTTCAAGTTTTTCAGATTCTTTTTGGATTCTGGATTTTGTGTATAATTGTAAATAATATTACTGAGCTTATACAAAATTTTCAAATTTTTGCGAGGAGAGATAAAAAATGTATTAAGTATTTCTTCTTTGACCTGCTTTTTGAAAAGTTTCAAGTTAAATTAGATGAATTAAAGTAAATTTAATAAAAAGTATATATGTAGAGCAGGGCGAGGCACAAAGGTCCAATTTGACTTTGAGCAAATATAAACTATATTGTGAAAACACATAGCACATTTTTACAGTGATGAAGTAGAAGTCAGTTTACTGAACGTAGTCAGATAATTGTTCGTTTGATATGTCTTATTTGTTGTGATATAACAATTATATCACAACAAATAAGACATATCAAACAAACAATTATCTGACTACGTTCAGTAAACTGACTTCTACTTCATCACTGTAGAAATGTGCTTTTTTGACGTCTTTCAAAAATTTGTTACCTAGACCTTTTTATCCTATATGCGGAGTAACCTGTAACGGGCAGGTGGCAAAAGGTTTAAAGCCTTATTATAATTTTAAAGGTATTTTACAAAATAATTACATTTTTAACTAATGCTAAAACTACCAACGGAAGAAAATACTTTTATTATCGATTTTCAAAGATTATCGTTTATCTCCTCCATTTCAAAGATTATCGTTCTCAAATCAAGGTTGTAGCTGGCTATACATCTTTTTTTCTATACTTTCAAATATTGTTAACTTTACTGATTTTTGGTGCATCGGTGGTGAACCTTTTTAATCCCGGACCTTCATATATTACTATCTATTCTGCGATAAATTCTGGGAAGTTATAACTGGAAAAATGTTATTCGACAAAATGTTCATTTGATCGATACCAAATTTAGGTTCTGAATTTAAATAACATAAATGAAAAATAATATAACCTAGAAAATATTTTATAAATACCAATGAGTATACAATTATACAAATGAGATCTTTCAGAGCACCGTGTTTGAGAAAAATATGCCAAAAAGTGCATTTTCATATTAACATATCAAAAAAGTTGATATTTTGAGTCTCTTAGTAACACTTGCGGCCCGTTTACTAACGTTTTTGTATATAAATAAAACTACAAACAAAACTACTTACTACAAATTTATCATAAATAAATAATATTCGCGTAAAGGTGCGTCCACACCTAACGAACGAACACGAACGAACATGTCGAACAAGAAAATACAAAGAAGAACGAACAGGAACACAAACGAACGCAAAAAATTCCAAACGAACTTGAACAAGCGCTTAAAAGCAGTGAGCGCTTGAATTTTCGTTGTTCGCAGATGTCCGTGAAACGTCAGTTTTATTATTGATATGGATGTAAGCTTTAATCATACGGCATTTCACTGGTTTTTGTGTGATTTTTGTTCGTGTATATTTTGTAAATATACTGTAAATAAATATTCAATTAATTTCACTCAGTTTTTGTATTTAATATTTATTATTTAGAGTTTTTGTTTATCAGCATTCATATTTGGAGCAAGCTGAACATTCCAGGCTTGAGCTAACTATACTCAATTTCATACTTCATCCGAACATATATGTTGGAAGGTCTATGTATGATAAAAATGTTTGAATTTACTGTAAAGACTGCAATCATACTCTTCTTTTATCTATGACTGCAATTTCTTCTTTACTGCAGCTGCTGACATCCCAAACGTTTGGCCTACACTTCCCCAAGCATCGTTTTTTTTTCTAATAATTTATAAAAAGGGTCTTTAGCTCCCATATTATAGGAAACTTTTCTATTTCATTATGAAGGGATGAAATTACGGCATTTGACCAGGCCAGAATATTCAAAATTTTCAAACGGACACAAGAATAAAAGGAAAGATTATTAAAAGGGGCAAAACAGGAAAAGCTAATAACAGATTATTAAATTTAAAAAAATTATTATTAAATTATTAAAATTATTAAAACAAAAAATGTTCGTTTGCGTTCGTTGAGACGTCCCCACTGCACATACGAGTTCAACATGAACGAACATTCCCTTTTGATGTACCGACAAGTTGCGGAACATTGCTCGCCATGTTTGTTTATGTCGTTCGTGATCGTCGTGGCGTCCACACTATGCTGTTGCCGTTCGTTCTGGTAGTTTTTTTATGTTCGTTCGTGTTCGTTCGTTAGGTGTGGACGCACCTTAAAACATCCTATTAAAAGCTAATGAACATCATCTGTCAAAAGCGTTTGACATTCACGAAATTGCCACCGTCCATTGTTTTATTTAAATTACGCTCCTACAAAAATTTTCAAATTAAAAATGTAAAGTTTCTACGCGGATTTGAAATAATTTCTCACCTTTTGGACTTTCTCTGGATTGGCACGAATTTTTCAAGACTAAGAGTGGCCAAATCGATTCAGCCGTTTTCGAGTTTTATTCGGACATTTGAAAGAGAGCTCCATTTTTATATATAAGATATATATATATATATATATATATATATATATATATATATATTTCATTCATATTTTCCAGTGCAACGTTGTTCTATATAGTAAAAGGGAAAGAAAAGACTCAAATTGGTTTAAGAATGAGGCAACATATTATCAGAACTTTGTTAAATGGAATGGCCAAACATCTTGAAGATGAAACAATGATGAGAAATGGATGCTTAACATTGTGCCAATTCAAATTGCCGCAAGATGTTGTATGTATTATCGACATAAATACATATTAATATATCTAATTTTTGTTGTAGGACCTCATAATATTAGAAACTATTACAGGTTATTCAATTTTGCCACTTATACCTAGATATTATGTTTGTTTCAGTTATTCCAATACGAAAAATTAGTGAAAATCCTCCTCCATGGTGTCTCCGATTCCGACCAAGGGGGCTTCGTTCAACGAATAGCGATTTATTTATTAAATTCGCTGGCTTGTCAAGTGGATAACAAACAAAAGCAGTGCTTGGGCGATATGGGGGCTATTTCTGTAATAATAATAATAATATAACTTTGTATTCTTATTAATCAGTTGTGTTGTTTTTGTTTAGAAAATGTTGTGGATTATCAAAAATCGTATATTGCGGCACATTTGCGATGATGTCCTGGAAGTGGCCTGGTCAACAATGTGGAATGTCACTGATGAGACACCGGCTAACTGTTTGAGATTTTTAGAAGGCGATGGAATGGACCATTTTATACAGTGTCTCATTGTAAGGGAATTCATTTTATTTGTCAGTTTAAAAAGTTGTTCATATTAATAAATATGTTTTTTTCTTCAGCAATTTCCATTTCAAGAAGAACTGTTGAGAAATATGATGGGGCTCTTAGGAAATGTAGCTGAAGTCAAAGATATTCGGCACAGACTGATGACTGCTAGCTTTATTAAAGTTTTTTCTGATTTATTGGATTCAAAAAGTGATGGCATTGAGGTTGGTTCATATAAAAAGCGATATTTGATTTTGTATATATATATACATATATATAATATGTATTGTGTATTACCATTGTATTACTTTATTACTTTTTGTAGGTCAGTTACAATGCAGCAGGTGTGTTGTCACACTTGGCCTCCGATGGCCAAGAAGCTTGGGCTAAGGCTGGTCTAGAAAAGGAACGAGATGATGTATTGCAAAAGATGACAAAGGCCATAGAGCGATGGAATCTTTCGGCTGAGAGAAACATCAATTACAGGAGCTTTGAACCAATCATGCGTCTGGTTAGATGTTATGATACCCCTGAATGTCAACATTGGGCTGTTTGGGCTTTGGCAAATTTAACTTTAGTTTATCGTAAGTATTTACTTTACCACTTGTTTATTTATCACTTATTTATGCTATTTTTTTTAGCGACGAAATATTGTGATCTGTTTGAAAGCGAAGGGGGCTTAGTAGAACTGGAGCGTCTCATAAAAGATGATAGGCCTTATGAATCCGTCAAACAACTCGCCAAAAGGGTTCTAGAGAATTGTTCTGTTAACAAAATGTATCCTGATAATCCTCCTGCAAGAGTTGAAGCAATGCTTCTTGATGGATAAGTGGAAGGAAAGTAAATTTTGTTGTACATAATTTTTATCTGAGAATCTTTAGTTGGTGTAAAAGATGATACTATAAACTTTGGCTCCACTAAGTATGGTATAAATAGTGTAGCACTAAGAGTGTGTACGGTAACTGAATATTTTTTGAATTTCTTTCATGATTGAGATTACTGTTGATGAATTTGTTGAGCTTTATGACAAATATTAATTTATTGACATTGATACAATTTTATTATTGAAAGCGAATGGAAGTTCTTTTAATAAAGGATATATAATTATAAATTGCAATAATATATAGTAAAACCCTGTCAAGACGATTTGTCTGAGACCTGAGCTGGTCTTAAGTGATAAAGTAAAGTTTAATATGCGGGATGAGAAAAATAATGCACTTACTACTACATATTTTTATGTATTATTTTCTAATTTTGGCATATGTAGGTAATAAATTTTAAATATTACATTATTTAAATTATTCACCTATTTTGGTTTGGAAGAAAAATTTAGATGCAAATTTTGCAGTGCTTCTATTTTTAAAACAAATTATTCAGCCATTTCAAACATCAAATTCATGAACTCATTTTTGATGAAATCATTCAACCAGAAGCGTACTGTGAGAAGAGAATAAATATTTGTTGAGGAGCCCTTCAAACAGTAAAGATTTGTCATAAATCAAAAGTAAAAGAACCTTTTGACAAACTGATTTATTAACTCATTTACAACTTCTGCTCCTAGGGACTTTTACCAATCTATCAATCTGCTCTACATTTTCCTTTCTCTGCACAACTGTAAATTTTCTTATTGGATTATTGAAGTTCTGCAGCTATGTTTGTGATTTTTAATAAATAGTTTCAACAACTCTATTCTATTTTGAAGAATAGTACCTTCTTTAGCTTTGGCGTGTTAAACGTTACGGCAAATCATTGAGATATATATTAAAATATGTTTTAAAGTGCAGCACACCAGCATAAAGAGCCTATCCTATATCCCAAAAATCACAAGCATGATCGTCTTAACGGTGTTTTACTGTACTTACATATAAAGATATATTTATGTATAATTATAAAGTTATGAATGAATTTATAGTAAAATAGTATATAATAAAAAAAGTTATTATGAGAGAATGTAATGTTTTCTTATAATTTTCAAAAATGCTTTATTTAATGTTTTCGGTTTTGTAAGATGTAGCTATTTATTCTTTTGTAAATCATAGATTTTAATAAATATAAATGAAAATATATTATTAACACGTCAATGGTTTTATTATAAATTAATTACTGCTAATAATTAAATAATAAATCTGAAGAAATTATTAATAATTAATAAATTACCAGAATTAGATAATCATGCAAATGATTAATGAAATGTTAATCAAAAATAATATTAAATAACACAAGATGATTTTGTATGAAGGTGCTGAAAAATTTATATCGATAAGTGTTTGCAAATTTACTGAAACTACAAAGCGTAACTCATCAATGATTGTAATAATACTAAAAGGAGTATAAATCTACTACATAATGATTGTAAAAATACTACAAAGAGTGTAAATCTACCATAATAGGTGTAAATCTACTACAATTAATTATTTGTAAACAAACACGCCATTTTTGTTTATTTACAAAAATCATCTGCACAAACTGACATGACTTGGATAAAATTTGTGTCATGATGAAGTATTTATAAATAAATAAATATATGTATATATACAGCTTAAATATAATTTAAATCAATATCTAATATCTAAAATAATTAATATCAATTTGAATTTTAAGTAATAATCAATTTTTTTTTTTTTTTTGACAGTTTCCAGTCCTGTAATGACACCAACAGCTGATCTTGACACTTGTGTTATTTGTTTTCTTATCTTTCAACAAAAATGGCGACCGACGAACGAAATTTCAGACTTTTTTATTATGAAAAAGTAGGTTTCAGAAGTGTTGAAGAAAAGAAATCCTTAGAAATTTTGTTAAAAGATAAACCGTTGGATAAAGTTAAGCTGAAACAGTTTTGTTTGAGATTCACTGTGCCTGGGGTACACAGGAACTATGTGTGGAAAATTATTCTTGGTTAGTTTTGATAATATATAGTAAAAACCTATTGCGAACATTTCTAGGGGTTCTACTAAGAACGTTTCTTAAGTTTGCTTTTCTCGGTTTATATAGTTTTTATATATTTTATCCTTTCAGATGTGATACCAGTCTACGCAGAGTCTCATTCTTTTGTAATGTCTCAACGAGAAGTGCAGTACAATGATTTACTACATGCTTTAAAAGTTATGAGAATTGTTGATAGCAATACTTCGAAACCAAGATTGTTTATAGCTATGTGGCTGTTGGAGACGAATAGACTGTATTTTGATTTTAACATACAGGTATTTACTTATAAATATTATCATTATTATGGGAGCTTTGTCAGTAGGCGTGAGAGCACTATTTTATCTATGTTACCTAGCTTGTGCTAAAATGCTTTCTAGGCCCATGCCTTGACTTTCAGTACCCTGTCTTTACTCTTCTTGTGTAAATCATCAATAATTTGCATTCTTTTTCTTCTTAATCCATTAAGTTCTTATATTTCACCTTGATGGCAGCAGACACTCTCTTTGAAATATGGATTCGATCCCGTTTACTTTCTTTTAATGATAGTGCTCAGTAGAGTTCCACTTCTTCACTTTTTCTTCCACTTTTCTTAGAACTTCTTCATTTACATATATAAATATATTTTTTGTATAGCAATATCAAAGATAAAATACATTTAACAAGAAAGAAGAACATTTTTTATGAATACAATTGCTTGGATTGTGACTTTTCATATATTGGACAGGCTTATGAAAAACTAGATAAAACGAACTATACAACATAAAAGAAGCCTTGTTCACCATGCCATTTTGTAAAACAACAGTTTTGATCTTAAAAACCTTAAAACATTATTTAAACAAATAGATCTATTCAAATATAGTATATCTGAATTGATTTTTAATTATTTATAAGAAAAATACAATAAATTTAAGAATATTTCTTAATATAGTACATGATTTGTACTTAAGTCATATAAATATGTTATTTTAATAATGTTTTATGCTTGTACATAAATTAAATATATTGGCAGTTGAAATATTTCTATATATTTGCGACCAAAGTCTCAAAACGTTTGTGACTTCAATATTTTTAACAAATAGTGTAAAAAAGAATGCAGTTTTCAGTTCAAATTGTAATATATATTATATACTATTATTTAGAAAGAGAACAGCAGTTTAGTGGCTATATGTGAGGCTCTGCTTCAAGTTTTCAATAGTGATGCGGAGGTATATTGGGTTGCCAAAGGCTTTTTCCAATTCTCCGAACAAATTCAATGTGATATTCCAAAACATAGTGATAATGTCGTCAGACTAATTGAGAAGGAGGATAATGAGTTATATAAGTATGTTAATTTGTTATATTATTTTATAATATTTATGTTTGTTTTATTAACAAAAGTTTTTTCCCAGACATTTACAAACAATAAATGCACTGACAGGACTGCCGATATCAAACTGGTTAAAATGTTGTTTTGCTGGAGTACTGAACGAAGCAGCTCTTGTCAAGTAATAATAAGACAGGACTGATTATTTAACAAATATTAATAAATATTTTTGTAATTTATAAATTTAATGTTATATGTTTTAGAATTTGGGACAAAATGTGTGGTGGTTCCATAAAAATTCTCGTATTTGTGGCTGTGGTTCTTTTTACAAATTTGAGACGCTCATTATTGAGATGTAATGATTTGGATGAAGTCATATCTTGTTTGGGAAATGTAAGTACAGAAGATGTTTACAAATATTTTTATTTTTAACTTCCCAAAGAAGAAATTTGTTTGTCAACAAAGTTTGGAATAATGAACAATGTCTATCATCACAATTCTGAAACTAGTTGAATATCAATTCTTATTATTTAAGTCCATTACAATATTACTTACACTTGGTTTTATTAAAATATTGTAATCTTCTTTTAGATAACAGAAGAAACTGCAGAAATCATTGCAAATAAAGCGATTGAGCTTTGGCAACAGAATGGAACTCCAATGGAGACATCACATTTGCACCAAAGTAATAAACCAAAGTAATTGGATAAATTAAGATACAGTATGTAAAAGTATATGCATGTTAAAATTTTATAGTCTATTGATCTATTTACAAGTGATATTCGTATGTAAGGTCTTAACTTGCACTAGGTTTTAGTGGCAACTTGCCTTAAGAAAAAATCTGGTGTTTTTCCTAATAAACTAATTAAACATGCCACTTTTAGTTACCTGAATGTTTATATTTTTGTCATTAAGTCAAGTCGTTATCTTTAAAATATCACTTGTAAATAAATCACCTAAGTTAAGAATTTATTCATTTTGTTTTATCTAAAATCGTCTGTTATTTTTTTAATTGTGAGTTGCTCGCCATTTTTGCAATAATAATTAAATAGTGTGATAATATTTTATGAACAAGTTAAAAGGATATAACAAATAATATTAAATACTCTTATATTTTACAAAAAAACGTCAACTATATATATATGTAGATTTTTATATCAAGAAATTCTTTAAATAATAATTACAAGTCAAAAGTATATATTTATAAATAAGGAAATAAATATAATGTAAAACGATTCCAGATAGTCTCTAATTTAATAGTTAATATCTATTTTAAATATTAATTTACTGAAGGAGAATTTTTGGAAATAGTACTGGTTAATTTTTGGCAAAGATCAGCCGCGCCGTTTCTTCGTGATTCATTTTAAAACTTTGTATCGTAATTGCGTTTATTACCTTAATGAACGTCTTAAAACATTATAGTCCTATGAAAAATGGTTTGATTATGAAAAATCATTAAAGAATGGAAGAATGGACCATGTTTTCAGGACATACACCGTGTATGTTCTAAGCATAGGTTAGTGCACTATAATTCATAAAATTCATATATTATAAGCCTGTTTGAAGTGGAAGCAAAATAAGCATTTGAAATTTTATCTATATATTTAAATCTCAATCTTTAATCATTAAGTCATATATTTACACATTCAAGGGTTGTTCATGCATCTTACCTCAAGGCAAATCGCCACTTACAACTAGTTTACAAAATATTTGGGTTGCCAGAGCTAAATGTTTTCATATCGTTGCCTTATTCTAAAAATGTGATTTCTTTTAGATGATAATAAATATTTTATGATAAATAAGAATATGTATATGTATATATGATCCATTGTGCATCATATGGCGTTGTGAAAATTTATATTTTATAAAAAATGCCATTAGTCAATGCCAAATTCATTTCTGATCCATGGATACTGTACTGGACAAGTCTTGCAGGTTCTAAGGATCCTGCAAACAAAACATATAATTAAATAAATAAATATATATATATATATATATATATATATATTTATATAACGTTTATTTCGTTACCTGTTTTGTTGAAGAAGTCTGCTGAACAATTTGCAATTGTTCGGTACCTTGCACGGTCTTTCGTCAGGCGCAAAATGCTTTTTTGGGCATTTCCAAGGCTCGAAATCTAAAATTCGTGATAATGGTGTTGGTTTCCTAATCCATTCTAAAACCTGATGCATGGTGACCAGATAAACGTCGTTTCTTCTTAAAGCTTCATCCAAAAATCTCTAAAATAACAGTGGTTTATAATTTGTTATCAATTAAATGTAACTTTTATTAATTACTTGGAAAGCATCAAAGTTTCTCCTTATCTTCAACCATGAACTTCTGAAGTGAAATCCAACAGGAGCCCTATTTGTCTTGTAACTTCTGACAAAAGCCAAACTGAATGATCGAAAAGCTTCCTCACCAGATATTCTGGAGCCACATTCTGTATTTGGATCCAATATTGCACATGTTGGGTCTACACGATTAATAGGCCCATCCATGGGTGCTATTGGATTGATAGGGAATTCCCAGATACCAGGATAGCTGCGGGTTGGACATGTTTGATATTCTCCTAAGAATAAAAGAATCCATTTATCCAAATTAGTGTTTCATGTTGATATTATTGAGTTCTATACCTATGCATTGATGGGGCATCTTGTACTCCAAAGTGTAAGGCCAGTATGTCCCATTACTTCTCAGAGAACTGTCAAATTCAAAACCAAATTCCTGCATCATCAAAAACTGTCGATCTGATCCTGGTGCTAAAAACGGGGCTCTCGTACCCCGGATTTCTTGTGATCGGACTGATGAGAACCTTCTGGCTATATTGGCACCTCCGACCATTTCATCAAACCAATCTTCTATTGTTGCATTTCTGGCCCACCAATCAGAAGGACCACGGTGCCTGAAAAATAGCAATAATAATAAACATTTTCAGACTACATTCTACATTTTCGGACGATCTACTATTTTTTTAGACTATCTATAATATTTTTATATAAACTACAATATTTTAACACAATCTGCGACATTTTCAGAAAATCTCACAGTATTTATAACATTTTCAGTTCCTCTGCAATATTTTATGGTAAAGTTGAACGTTGAACGCAACCTTGTCAAAAGTCGCCTTAGAAACTTCCCTTCAATCTTTTATCCTTTTCACTTACGTTACTGAATTGACTCCAATTTCGTGTCCATCGTGCCAAATCTTTTGGACGCTCGCATAATCGGTATCTCGGTGCGTCAAAAACCACGTCAACCTCGGGGGGCACCCATTTGGATTCCGCACGAGCCCTTGCGGAAACAGGCCCCTCGACAGAAGATCATAGTCGTCATCATCTTCTGATGAAGTCACGGATCCGGTTATAGAAACGTAGATGATTTGAGGAGTTTCCGAGGCTGGAAGGCCGCCTGGTATTTGAGAGGCCGTGCAGTAGCATTCTGGCAGATGGCACCTGAAGGGGTCGCATGGCGGTGCAGAGTGTTTGGAAATTATGTGGGTGATTAAATCACAGTGTCCCTGAAAAGAATAGGAAATTGATGATAAGATAAATTACCACTTTCTTGAGTTAATATATACCTCATCAGATCCATCAGGACAATCGAGAGCTCCATCGCAAAAATACTGTTCTGGTATGCAAGTTCCGTCTCCGCATCCAGTCTCTCCTGGAATATCACAACCCGCCTCCTCGAGCAGAGGCTTTGGAATTTTCTCTTCTGGAAAATAAGGCGAATATTGACATTTGAAGTAAAACTTCTTATGCTACTTCCAACAAGGCTGCATTCAACGCAAGGTGATAACAAAATGTAAATTGTGGGAAAATCTTATAGACTGTCTGCAAATGTAGTAAATTATCTAAAAATATTATAAACAGTCTGAAGATGTAGATTGTCTGGAACTGTTGTATGTTGCCTGAAAATGTGGTAAATTGTCTTGATATGTTTATTTCTTGATTGTCTTGAAATGTTGTCTGAAAATATTGTGAATTTCACTTCTTCCTGGCGGAAACTTCTTTTTTTGTCCCATTTTCGGGTATAAATAAAATAGGCTGGCTAAGTGTTTGTTGTTTACTGACTGGTTCATATTTTTCACATTATTACCATTTACGAACCGGTTCTCCTCGTCGGTAGAACGTTTGAACTAGATCAACACCGTAGTTGACCTGGATCTGAATTAATGGCTGGTAATTAGTGGAAAATGATACTCGGAGTTGATTTATCATAAAAACACCTCTTAGTAAATAATGTCTTTAGCATGTAAAAGTTCATTGGCTATATACAAGAGTAGTTGGCGACGGTTTTATTTTATTATTCTTACCGGCGGTAATGTCGCAATTGTCGACATTGGCTTGAAAATCGCAGATTTGTCTCGAAACGTCGAAAAGTAATCCAGAACTGCATCGAAATTCGAACACTTCGCCATCGAGGCACAAAAAGTACTTGGAGCACTCTTCGCTCGTCCAGAGCCTGTGTGCAGACCTTGCGGGATTTCTGATAATAAAATAATAATAATAATAATAATATATATATATATATATATAATGCGTGTGTGTACAGATTTTACCTGTAAAATCTGCCTTCTTCGATACACGGTATCGGTTCAGAAATTGTGTCATTTCCTGGAATTAGAAAAAATCAGCCATTTATCAATTATATATATATATATATATATATATATATATATATATATATATATATATTAGCTGACCCAGCAAACGTTGTTTTGCCATAAAAAATATTTCTAAATATATAAATAGTTTACCCACTGCAAAGCATGCTACATATAAATACTTCTGAGTAAGATTAATAGCCTTTGCAAGTGCCAACCTTATCTGAAGCTGATTTTATTAACTTCCCGTAGGGTAAGTTATCATAATGGGCCGAATATCTAAATTGAAAATTTTTACATTTCTCAACGTTTTGAAGGTTTCTGAACATTTTGGCATACCTCAGAAAAAATGGATGTGTGTGTGTGTGAGTGTATGTATGTATGGATAAAAATTTCCAGTCACGTTTTTGAGTGCACGGATTTGAATGGTTTAAAAAACATTTGATTCCTATTGATAGGGAAAAAACTGATTAGTTTTTGGCAAAAGCAGGTCCAACAGTTAAGGAGATAAAGAGCAAAGAGTGCAGAAGATTTGAATGATCTAAAAAACATTCAATTAGTAATGATTGGGAGAAGTGTTTATTAGTTTTTGGCAAAGGCAGGCCCAATCATTTTGAAGATACGGAGCTAAATGTAAAAAATGGCAGTTTTTGAAAGAACTAAGCGTCGGATTTAAATGATTCAAAGACGTTCTGCTTGTCTTAACAAAATATTGATTTTGGAACAAAAAATTTGTTTGCTACAACTTTTTTTTTTTCAAAAAAAAATTTTTTTTGTATATCGAAAATAATTCAGATTTTATTTTTAATTCTGACTATAGTTCTAATATACTTTAAACCAATAATTTCAACTTTGCAATTCAGTTTATATAATTCTTATAAATATTAGACAATGTTACAATATTAATAATAATCTATTTGAAAACTTTCAGTATTCCTCGAACATTTCGTTACGGTACGGGAAGTTCCAGCAATTTGCCTTAAGGCACGATGCCATACACCCCGCTAGTATTATTTTTTAATTACAAAATCCGGTAATTTGTTTTTAAATTATATTGTTATGTGGCATGTCTAGCAAATTGACTGATATTGAACAAAATTGAGAAAGTGAAAAGTTTCACATTTTTGCCATAGATTTTCATGGTACCTAGTTTTCTATCAAAAACTGTTATATCTTCAGATTTTAATCCTTTCCACTCGCAAATTTGGGAATTCATATGTATTTTGCCGTCGGAGCGGCGGCATCCGAGTCGAAAGGGTTA